GGAGCTTGAGGAGAGGGGAATGAGGAGATACTGCTTGGCCAGTGCAGAGTCTCAGGTGGAAATGATGAAAAGTTCTGGAGATGAGGAGTGGCAGTGGCTGCATGATGTTGTAAGTGTAGGTAAAGGCACTGAATTATACACTTGAAAATGGCTAAAATGGCAAATATTATGCTGTATATATTTTACTACAGTTTAAAAAACATCATACCACGGAGCATTGGTATATCCCTCATCAGGTTTCTGAGGATGTGCAACTCGCCCGAGGTCACCAGCTTGTAAGTGGCAGGACAGGGCCTGTGGCTGCAGCCCCCCACGGTGCCTGGCACATGGGTCGTGCTCCCCAGAGCTTGCTGAGCGCATGCTGCACGTCTGCCTGTGTGTCACGGCAGTGTCTAAGGAGCTGTCCCAGCTTCCTGCAGTGAATCGTGCAGCTACTGCCCTGCTCCGTTCCCACAGGGGACTGGGCTGTGTGGCAGTCCATCCTCGTAGTGAGGAGAAACTGTCTTTAGTTCACTTCCCCATTCCTATTTCAGTCCACTCGGAGCCTTGGTGGAAGGGTCTGCTGCTCTTCAGCACTAGTTAGGGTCCCTGCCCTAGGCTGGTCCTACTGCATTTGTGTTGTTGTCTGTCTCAGCTGGCCAGGGCTCTTGGCTGAGGGACAGCACGGCTCCTGGACTGAAACCCACAGGGAAGAGCACATGGGGAATGACAAAAGCTGAGACCACCACTCCTGCCCATAAAAATGGAAAAGCAGACACCCCGCCATGCACACAGGCTGCTCTCGAGCATTGGTCAGATCCCTTGTGCCTGCCAGAGCAGCATTGCAGCACCGGGCCCCTGCCCTGGGTGGCGTATCAATGAATGAATGAACCAACAGATCCACTTTTCCATGAAGGTGTCTGAGGCAGGTGTGGGTCAGGGAGCTGGAGGAGGGAGGCCCTCACTGCTCATGGCCAGCTGCTGGGTTGAGTGTGTTGTGGGAGCCTGAGGCCATGTGGCCAAAGATTGGACTTCCAGAAGTATTGACAATGCAGTACCAGAAACCTAAGTGACACTCATCTAAGTGATGCTGATATCTGAAGTTTTCCTTTAAAATAACATGAATAAAAATAGCCTCTCCTGGGAGAAGGGGATGCTGCTGTGCAGGTTCTGGCCCTGGCTCTCTCCTGTCTCATGTGCCTCTCTGGCTCCCTCTTTTTAGAGGTGTCTGGGTGCTCTGGGCCAGCACCACTGATTGGGTGCAGGCTCAGCTTAATACTAGCTGTGATCAGGATGTTCTGGAAAGACAAAGTCTGTTCTAAAAAGAAATGGGATTCTGGTTCTGCAGACCAGAGTGCCTGGATTCAATCCTCACACAGTCTTGGGACCTTTTAAGACAGCAGGACACTGAGACTGTTCCAGTCACCAAGTGACTTTTGATCAGCACCTTCTGGTTGTAGGAAGCTGGGAACCCCCAGGGTCCTACCACTGTCATCAGTTATTATCTATTCTACCCTTTGCCAGTTCAGCAATGAAAATCTAAATTGCATTAGTTAACCAGAAGTGAGTTATTTTGGGTTATTTTTATTGGCTTAAGTGTTCATTAAATTTCTGTTTGGTGCAGCAGCATGGTCATATTCTATGGAACTTTCAAGAGGGAAAGTTATTTAAGAAGCAGTGAAATGAAGATACCTTGTTTTTCTCATCTCCAAGGTGCGTTGAGCATGGTGTCCAGGCCCAGTGACGTGCAGGAAAGGACTGGAGTGCTGGGTGTTGATGGGGAATTGCAAGGGTGGGGAGCCTTTCGGAGGGATTGCGAATCCTGGCACGTAGCCCGTGCTCAGTATTTCCAGGATGAATGAATGATGGGCAAGAGGCACTTTTGTTTTGCTTTTGAAATACTAAATTTACTTCCCTGCCTTGGACAGGGCAGGGAAGTGGCATGTCCCTGGCATTTCTTTGATGTAAATTGTCTCATTTTGATGTTTGCATTAAGTGAGCTGTTGTTAACCCTCTTTGAGAAATGAACACTGAAGCTATGAGAGATTAGGTAAATCATCTCAGGTCCCACAGTCATTAAGGAGCCAGAGTTCCAGCCAGGACCTTGGGGATTCCAAAACCCATTTCATTTCCATTATACTGACTGTCTATGAGTCAGAATCTTCAAAATGAAGTGCTCTCCTGCTCCTGAAATGGCCTGTATTAGTGAGCATTGTCCAGAGAAAGGGAGCCAGTAGGGCGTGTGCACATGTGTGTGTGTCTGTGTGGGGGGCTGGGGAGAGAGAGAAACCTCAGGGAACTAGCTCACGTGATTGGGGGGCTGGCAAAGCCAAGTTCTGCAGGGTTGGCCAGCGGGCTGGAGAGCCAGGGAAGAGTTGCAGTTCCAACCCACGGCAGGCAGCTGGCCAGAAGTCAGTCTGTGTTCAGGCCTTCAACCGATTGGAGGAGCCCCGTCCACATGATGGAGGATAATCTGCTTTACTCATAGTCTACTGATTTAACTGTTAGTCACATCTAAACACCTAGAATAATTGACCAGATCTTCACAGAAACATCTAGAATAATGTTTGATCAAATATCTGGGTACCATGGCCTAGCCAAGTTGACACATACAGTTACCATCACAGTGCCACTGGAGGAAGCAGTTTGATAAACTAAGGGTAAAGAGGAGCCTGGGATGGATACTTTAAGGTCTGGTGTTCCCAAGAGAGGTCAGATGTTGAGAGAGGGAGCAGACCCTCTCAGTCTTCATCGGTGGTCTCTGAGCCACCTTCATGGTGCCTGGGGACACCAAGCCATTGGTGCTCCAGACTCTTGCATCTCACCCACTGCCAGCTATTGGCCACTCCCAGGCTTTTGGGTATTGCAGGAGTCCCCTTGGTCTCCTCCCTAAGTCAGTGACAATTCTCTACCTGCTGGCTCCTACTTTCCTGGGAGGTGAGGGCTGAGGAGATGGGAATGGGGATGTGGATGTCTGTGGCTAGGGGTGGTGCAGAATTCTCGGCCTGGCCCTGGTTTCCACATTCAAGCCTCTCTTTGACCCCAGCTTTGTGGGATATCACCTTCCTTTCTCTTCTGTTCAGCTTATCTTTTGTTAATACTGAATGTGTGCAAGTTGCTTTTCAACAAACTATTTCATTGACTCCTCACTGCACTCCTGCAAGCTAAGTACCACTAACCCCATTTTGCAGGTCAAGAACCTGCTCAAAGGGTTAAATAATTTCTCAGGTGCCTCCAGCTGTCACCAGGAGTCTCTTCTAGGCCTCCGACTTTAGTCCTGGGCCCCTTTCTATTCAGATCTCAGCATTGTTAGACGCTGAGGGCGCCTTTTGCATAGAATCCAATCCTTTTCCCTGATGGTGGCTGCACACTGGTGGCATTGCCAGCCCAGGTGTTTAAGTGAGGTGTGAAGCCTTTAAAAATCCTGCTCTGAGGAACAATGTTAGGGTAAAGGTCATTGAGGTAGTGAAGAAGGTTACTTGCTGCCAGATGGCCTTGAGAGCACATCTTTGATTCTTGTGTATTCATTCATTAAATAATCCTGTCTGACAATGTTATATGCTCTCATGTTACACACATACACACAATGTATAGGTGTGTACCTGAGGTCCTGACCTTGTCTGGAGGAGCGTCAGGAGGAGTCCCAGAGGGAGGGATGCTAATATCTGAAGGACGAGTCTGTGGCTGTCCAGGTACAAGGGCGGGGAAGAGCACTTAGGGCCGAGGGAACAGCTATGCAGGGGCCTTGAAGCCAGACCTTGGTGGAACATAAGAAAGCAACAGAAGGCCACATAGCGCAGACAGTGGAATGTATGCTTATTTCCTCCAGGGGAGGGAAGAATAAATGGTTACCTTGTTGAAAAGGACAGTTAGAATTGGATAGTCAGTGTCTTCGGCACTGTGGATTGCTACACATTAGTGGGCCATGAACTCAATTTGCTGAGTTGCAATCACCATTCAAAATATAATGGAATAAAGAAAGAGGACATTGCACATAATAAGGGTAAGCATTGTTTCAATGAAACTTTTGTGTTATGTGCGTGTAGGTGTGTATTGGTTTTTGATATAAAATAGTCCGCATGGGTTGTGCTCAGAGCTGCATTTCACAGCCAGCTCCTGGCTTGGTCTCCGGGGCTAGCCCACAGCACCCCTTTCCTTTATGCACATGGCTGCTGCCCCTGCTCCCAGTCGTGGCCGAGGATGTGAGCTGGGGCCCGCCCACAGCTGGGGGTTATTAAATGCTTCTGTATTTGATTTCAGAACCCTAGTGATGAGTGCTTGAATCTGTTCCCTTTGCTGTCCAGCCTGCAGTCATTTTCTTAGGTACCATCATGGGTATTTATGGACACCTTCAGTGAAGTAGGCACTGTGCCCAGATAGGTAAGGCCTAGGCCTGTCTTCAGGAGCTTCTCATCTAGTGTGGGAGACAGACTTGTGCCCAGACAATGCCTACAAGACTTGTAAGAGCTGAGAAGGGTCAAGGAAGACTCCCAGAGACATCCATTTGGGTCTCTAAAGAGAAGCAGTGCACGTGCAAAGGCCTGGAGTCCCAGTTGGGATTGCTCTGGATGACTTACGGCAGTTGACGTGGATGATGTGCTAGTAGATGTAAAGGGCCCCTGGAGAGATGGGCAGGGCTATGTGCCCAGGTGCCTGTGCACCAGGCCAATAAGAAGCATGGCATTGACTTGAAACGGGAATGATGTGATCAGTTCTGTGTTCTAGAAAGTCCCCTGAGCAACTGTGTGCACGGTGGATTGGAAGGGGCCAGACTGGAAGCTGGGAGACCAGTCAGGAGGCTGCTACAGGAAGATAGATGAGGATTATGGTGGCCAGTCCAGAGGGGCAGAGCCTGTTAATTACCCTTGTGCAGACTTTGTGACTGTGCACCTCAGAAATGGGCCCCATTCTCGACGCCCACTCCCTGGCTGAGTCTTTAAGACACATGGGGGTACAGTGAACACCCTGGAGTCAGGTACTTGGGGGCATTTTGGTAAAAAGTATTTTCTCTTCCTTTTCAGTGCAAACCTCGAGGGAACCTGGCTGGCTAGAGGGGACTCTGAATGGCAAGAGGGGACTGATTCCACAGAATTACGTCAAGCTGCTATAGCTCCCGGCCTGCAGGGGCCCCATGCTGACCCTGCCACCCAAGGACCTTCCTGCGAGTTGCACCCATGACCTATCTCCACACTCGGAATTACAGATCACAATTGGCACTCCAGGGCTGGGGGGAGGGGGATGGGGCATGCCACACAGAACTGTATAGATTTGTGGATCAGAAGAATGTCGGGATTAATAGAATGGACTTTTCCTTTGTCAAGCATCAGGACTTGTGATTTTTAATTATCCAGCCTATAGAAGGAGAGGAGGGCAGCCTTCTGCCACCCCAGCAGCCCCCACCCCCTACAGTCACCCCACCAGACCCATGAAGAATCCCATTCCTCCCCGTGTACCTGCTGCTGAGATTTTAAAGGGAACTGCTCCTCTTCACAGTGTTTTGTTTGCAGGGCGCATGCTTGGCTCTGGTCGCCGTGGTGTGGAGCGGGCTGCTGCTGGGGCCGGGGGAATTGGTCTCAACCCAGAGGGAAGCAGAAAGAGGCTCTTTTCAAGCCTGCTCCTTCCTACAAGGCCACCCTGGGGACCCCACACTCACTCTACCTGGAGGACAGAGCATCCTGGCGTTTTTATAACAGGCTTCTTGCTGGTGCTCCTCACCTGTGTGCTGTTTTCCAACCACCTGAGACTCCCCATGGTCTCTGTACATGAAATAAAAAAGGGCGCGTGCTTGGCTCTGGTCGCCGTGGTGTGGAGCGGGCTGCTGCTGGGGCCGGGGGAATTGGTCTCAACCCAGAGCGAAGCAGAAAGATGCTCTTTTCAAGCCTGCTCCTACCTACAAGGCCACCCTGGGGACCCCACACTCACTCTACCTGGAGGACAGAGCATCCTGGCGTTTTTATAACAGGCTTCTTGCTGGTGCTCTTCACCTGTGTGCTGTTTTCCAACCACCTGAGACTCCCCATGGTCTCTGTACATGAAATAAAACGTAATTTACTATTTGATTTGTCTGTCCTAATGGGGGGAAGAGATTGTGGAATTCATTCCCTCTGTAATGATTTATGATTTGGCAGCCTGTGCATGGAAATTCATTTTCCTCGGATGTTGGTGCACACAGGTGGAATTTGTTAATGGGAAGGTTGCTTACTCTCAGCAGGGCATGTGGCTCTACCCCTGGTGGCATGTGCGTGAGCTGCATCAGTGCTGTTGAGGCCAGTCCTCCTGACCAGCTTCACTGTGCAGCTCCTCTCACCCATGCCACCTGCCACGCCCTCCATTTTTCAGCCTCAGCGCTAACATCTCCATCTGGATTGATCTGGGCGGTGGTGCTGGTCAGAGGCCGGCAGCTCTGGCATTCAGACCCTTCTTGGAGGAGCCTGTGCCCACGGCCCTGCACATACCCGCGCCTGGGCTGATGGCGGCCCATGTGGGCAGGCCCCGCTCTGATGCGTCTCAGCCCCCGACTCCCAGGTGCAGGCTCAGTTGGCCTCTTGGGGAAAAGGGCCTTTCCCTTGGAAGATGGAGCTGTTTCAGTGGCCTCGAGGTTCTGAAGCCAGCCCCACGCCAGAGGCTGCTCTGGGGCCAGCCCTGTCTCTCTTCCCCACAGGAGGTTCCTGGGCCTGTCATACTTCTCTCTCAAGGATTTCAAAAGGAGGATGTGTCTGTTGCCTTTCCCCAGATGAACTGACTCAAGAGCTCGCTGGTGAACGTCATTGACATTACCTCATGCTCACCATAGGAGGGTGTTGAGTTTGGGGTCATATGTGTATGGGGGAATGTGCCTGTTGAAAATTGTCCATGTTGCAAATAAAAATAAGGACAGTTTTAATGTAAGGTAACAATATACTGAGCCAGGGACCCAAAGAAGAGTATAGATTGCTGAGGAGCCCTACGACAGTGGCCCTGAGGCCTGTGTAGGCCAGCGTGGCCCCAGGAGTGGGATGGCATAGTCTTCAGTGTCCTGTTTTCTGAGCTATCATTTCCTGCCCCTGCTTGCTTCTCAGGAATGTAGAAAAGAAACCTGGCTCATGAGAAGAGGTTACTGGTGTGCTCCACTTTGAGGAAGCTCTGTAGATGAAGGCAAACCTGTGTGTAGTTACAGTGGGCTCAGGTTAGCACTGGGAGTGATTTCCTGGCAGTGTTCCTAATTGGTGTATCTTCAGAGGGCATTAAAGATAAGACTCAGGGCACCAGGACTTGATTAATTTGCTTGCTTGAGGAAGATTTCCATCATACACAGTGAGGTGCACCCGACCCACTATTACCCCCGAAGTGCTTTTACCACCACTTGGTTAAGGAAATCACCACTAAGTCTGGCTACCTGCGTGACCTTGGGCAAGATAAATCACCTCCTTGATTCTGTTTCTGCCTTGTCAAAAAAAAAAAAAAAAAAAAAAAAAACCCAGGGGTTTGGGGTTGAAAAACTACTAATAGCAGTATGTAGTATGTGCTCAGTTAACGGGAA